ACTTTTTAAATTATCTGCTACATATTATTTTTTCTTGAAATTTGGCAGATGAATAAATAAAGGATGTAAAAAAATGTCTCAGTAGTTTTGCAAAATGTCTCAGCATTCCATCAATACAAATTTCACGTGACAACATCAAGTAAATTTTTAATATCTATAAAGTCAACAAAAAGTAAATCATCCATACATAATTGATTCATAAAAATATAGATCTAAGTCTCTTCTTTTCAAAAATAATCTATGTTGATATACTTTTCTAAAAAGAAACACCACAACAAAACGTTTGTCTGACCCTACCTCAGAAAAAATTCAAAAAACGTGACACAGAATTTTAGCACAAAATTCTATTCCGTAAAACGGCTATTTCCCCATACCTACATATACCCAGTTTTTAACTATTTCTTTCAATATCTGTATCAATTTCAATATCTCAAGTAATTAAATGTTTAAAAATATATATATAAATTAGCAAGAACCTGTCTATAAGTCGCTTTTCATTAGGTGTTTTTAAAATTCTCCATCTTTGGGAAGTTCCAAACCTTGATTTAGCAATATTTCAAGAAGATCATTAACTAATGTACTAGTTCCATTGTAGAATAGCGCAATGTTGTCGAGTAAAGACATTGAATTCAAAGAATTATCAGGATAATTGTTCCATGTATCATTAGCAGGTTTTCCTATTGAAAAATACGATTCTGCATGAGATGTCTAAATCTTTGAAATTGTTAGAACTTGGTTCTTGATATGACAATACTATACTAATAGTATATCAAGTATACATAGTATAGCATATATTCAGTTTTAAACCGTTTCTTTCATTATCTGTTAAATTACCTGTATCAATATTACCACAATTTTTAAGTAATTGATAACAAAAATAAAAATTAAATGGAACGTGTCTTTTAGTCGTTGTAAAAAGACTTCTTTTGTAATTGAAAAAAAATCTTAGTTAAAAATGCGTTACTCAAAAATTTTAGAAAGTTTTTGCACTTGCGTGATTTAATTGATTTTTTTTGATTTTATAAGCATTCTGGATATTTTTTTTTCTAGATAAAGTTATTTTTGAAAGCGCGTATTTTTAAAATCTCGACTAAAAATTTTATCATACTTGAAAATAGCGTATTTACCTTCGCTACGTAATTTTTTCGCAGCTTCCTTCGATGTTCGATAGTTTCTTGGGCAAAATCTTCGTATGTAAATGCCAGTTCCTTTAAGATGTGTTAATGAGTTGAGTATTTTGTTTTTGTCGTAGAAGTTCAGGAGTTTTAAAACTATTGTTCTTGGTTTATTATCTTTCTTTTGACCGATGCGATGTGCTCTTTCTAATACGACTTCCTTTGATATTTTTAACTGATTATTAAAGAATTTTTTTACCTCTTTTTCACAATCATCCCAGCTTTCTCCTGGAGACTCTTTTAGTCCATCTATTCTAAGATTATTTCTTCTGGAACGATTCTCCAAGTCTATTGACTTTTATATAATGTATTTATTTGATTGTCATAATATTTTTTTAAGTGTGAAATGTTTTCTAAAGTTTTATTCTCTTAAAAACTGAGGCTGTCCTTTATTTAGTTCAGGTCTTTTTCGATATTCTTTATTTTCGACTTGTTGTTGTTGTTGTCTTTCTCTATTGTGTCTATCAGTTATAATTTTGAGGTTTGCACTCATTAAAATAAATGATTTTTCTTGCTCTTTAAGTAGTCGTTCAGTTTCTTTAAGAATACTTTTTTTGTGTTCCTCGAGTTGTTTTGTGATAATTTTTTCTATGCTTTTTATTGTAATATCCATTTTTATGTAAAATTTTATCGCTAATAAAAAGCACGTCTTGTTTCCGCAAAATCTCCGCGAATTTCAAATTCTAAATTTCAAAAATTCTAAATTTCAAACAGCAGTTATTTTTTCAAATACATACATATGGACATGATATTTTTGAATTTATGACATGAAAATATTTATTTTCTCGTTTATATAAAAAAATAAAACCATAAATTACATATAATTTTTTTTAGCAGATAGTTTCATAGTCCAGATATCGCCGGTCTTGCAACTTCTAATTCAAGAGCATTTTTTAGCACCCTATTAAATCTTTTCGCTCGGATTTTCGGAACGACTGAATAAGCTCAAATTTCATAAGGGGCCATCCATAAAAGTAATCCAAATAGGGGGGAAGGGCGTCGAGTTAAAAAGGACAAAAAAGGACAAGGGGAGGGGGGAGGTGGTCAGAAAAGGACGTCACTTTAAAGATTTTTTATTTTAGTTTAATTAACATGAAAAACTACGTAAACATGTGTTTATGAGAAGATAATGTATGAGAATATTTTTAATTTTATTTTTCAAAGGTGTAGCTGCAAATTCAAATATCATTTCAAGGTGAAATAAATTTTTTTGGAGTTAAAAATAGATTTTATGACGTCCTTTTCCAGGGGAATATAAGGAAAAAGGATAACCGGTGACAAAGGAGGGGGAGAGGGGGTCAAAAATTGGCTAAAAAATGGCGACGTCCTTTATGGATGGCCCCTAAGTACGAACTGGCGTAAGTGCAAATAGCGTAAGTGCAAACTGGCATAAATGCAAATTGGCATAAGTGCGAACTGACATAAGTGTAAAGCAGTTACAAAAACTGGCACAAGTGCGAACTGTCATAAGTACGCCGAACAAATTTGCAAATATTGGCATAAGTGCGATTTGGCGTAAATGCGAAGCAGTTGCAGAAACTCGAACTGGCATAACATAAGTGCAAAATGCCAATTTGCACTTATGTAGGCACTTCAGTCACGTGACTTTTTCCGTGTAACAAGTTTAGAATTTAAACATTAGCGAATTTTCCAGAAACTTTTTCGGGAATTATTTTAATGCTATCTAATTTCAAACCCATTTGCCAGTTATATTTCACTGGAAAAAATTAAAAAAAAATGTTAATCTGTGGAGGTTGTTCTTCAAAGTTTCTTAAAAAAGAAGCTAGAAGATTTTTCAAGTCGTTTTCTCCATAGTTTATTTTATTTACACTTTTTGACAAGTACATATACTGTTTTAAATTGCTTTTTTGAGGTTCTAGCACATAAAAAAAGATTATTCAGCTTATCATATATATCATATATAATTTGTTTTTTATGTCTGGACTTTACAATTAAAAAAACACTTTTCATTATTTTTTCGATGTTTCTTGATGCCATTATGGGTACTCCGTTCAACCTACATATAGCTAGTTATTTATGTGCATCTATAGAGAGAGTTTATTTACGTAACTTTTATTTTTAATACTTTTTTATATCTAGCTGTTTAAAATGCAGAATAGAGATTTGTATTTATGGTATCAAAGTTTAGAAGAAAAAAACTTATCCAATGTGTGCACAGTTTTTAGACAACGATTTTCTTCCAACTTTCAAATTACTGATAATGACCTTAGTTTGTTTTCGAAAATAAAAAGAATTATTCAGAAAAGTAGGTTGCTGACTAAAAAAAGTAAAGAAGAATTTATGCTTTTAAATTTTATACCACCAATATCTGAAACAAATATCTTGTAAATGACCTAGACCATCTTAAAATCGAAAATAAAACTTCAAAATGCAAAGTTAAGGCTGTTGACAATTTAAAAGAAAATTATAAAAACTGCTATAAACAGCTAAATAATCTTGAAAGTGGAAATAAAAAACTTAAGTCAGTTATAAAAACCAGCAATGCAGAGAAACTAGAATTCGTAAGACAGTCCAAACAGTGTAAAGCACTATATACAACAACGAATGAACGGCTGTCAGCTCTAGATAAAAAATTTACCACATTAAAACTTAGGAATAAAACAAACAGAATTCGAAATTTAAACAAGAAGATTTTGTATCGAGATATAAAGCTAGAAAAACAAGAAAAAGAAATTGATGCATTAAAAGCCCAATTTGTAAGCGAATCTCAAACTTTAAATAAGGAATTCAATGACCTTAATCAAATGCTAGAAAGTAGTAATACAAAAGTTGATATTTTATCTCAAGAAAAAAGAAATCTTCAAAAGAAATTATGTTGTTTGAAAAATAATTTAAATAAAACAAAGGAATCAATTTCGGCTTCTTCGATTGAAGACCTTACTTTCTTGCAGTCAGAAGTTAAAGAACTTGGTGCAAAAGTTGAATCATTAAACAAAGAAAACATATATTTAAATGGTCTTTTGAAGTTGTTGGAAGATGAGGAAATTGTAACTTTTGAAAGAGGGCGTTATTCAAATAATATTCGTGAAGTTATTATGGAGCTGTTATCATTAAATGTCAGTATGAACAAAGTCAATGATGTCATCAAAATTGTTTTAAAGAAACTTGCAAAAAAAAACAGTTTCAAAACTTCCCTCTGTTGATACAATATCTAGAATTCTTGCACAGATTCAAGTATCAGAAGAAATTTTAGATAATGTTGAGAAAGACACAGGAAACTGTTTGCATGGAGATGGAACAACCAAATATCACAGACATTATCAAAACTTTCAGTTGACTTCCAAAAATCATTTGGGCTATCAGAATTGGCTTCTGGTGATGCTGGATCTACTTTGAGTTCTTTAACAGAAACTTTGGATGATATTTGTGATGTTCTGGACACAAAAGACAAGGAAAAAGGCTTTGCAAAGTTAATTTGTTCATTTAAGACAACTATGTCAGATTTAGGTTCTGTCAATCCACTTTTTAATAGTAAATTCAAAGAAATAAAGGAGCTATTGTTACCAAAAGTTATAGAACATTGGGATTATTTAACAATTAAACAAAAAAATGAATATAAGGATATGTCAAACTTTTTTTGTAAGTTGCACCTTTTAACAAACTTTGCAACTGAGACAGATAAAGTACTGAGTTCATTTGAAAAAATAGCTGAGTGATGATCACAAAGACATTTTTGCATTTAAAACTTTTGAATCGGGGGCTGCAAGACTCATACGTACTGCATGTAAAGCATTCCATAAACGAGTTAGCAATGAACTTGGTGTGGCAGGGTATTTTAATTCTTTTCTCATTGGAAAAGGTGTAGACAAATGTATGTTTGCTCCTTTTATAGGCAATAGGTTCAACATTTTGTTTTGTAATGGTGCTGCACTGTATTATCATTCTGAATCTATTAAAGAATTTTTGTCTCAATGGCCAAATCCGAATAATCTATTGAAGGCAGTTAATGAAGATATATCAAATTTATTATTTTTAGCAGAATCTCGTGCATTAGATATTTTTGATAAGTTAATTACTGGTCCCTTTTGGAGACTCATTGAAGAAAACAAAAACATTCTTAGTATGAATAAGTTTTTATTTTGTTTAAAAATGAAATTGTCAGATCTTTGCAAAGACGCTTCTCCAATGCTCAATCAAACACCTGTATTTGATCCAAGAGATGTCAAAATACATAAAGATAAACTTTATGAAAAACTTTTTGAGGAGACTGGAAATATAGAATTTGATGTCTTGGTGCAGCAGTCATTAGAAACAATTTCCCATGCGTTTTTAATTCTAGAAATACAAGCAATTGATCAGCTCCCAGGAGGTAAATATTGGAACTCAGATGATAGAATTCAAAAGGCTGCTGAAAATGTACCAACAACTAACAAAGCTTCAGAAAGTGATTTTGCGATTCTGGATCTACTTATTCGGACAAAGCCCAATGCTAAAATACAAACAATTCAAGCATATACAATGTGGTACAGAAACAAAACCTTAGATTGGTTGGATGCAAAATCAGAAGAAGAGCGTTACATTTTAATTGGAAAAGCTCCTAATAGTGTTGAAAAAATGAAATTAAAGTATAAAGAGCGTCAAGTAGAGTTAATATTAAAGAAATCTTCTATTCTGATAGTAAAACAGCAATTCAAAGCAGATACAGAAAAGAAGGCATTGCTGAAAAAAGCAAATATTGTAAATGAGCTTATTCAATTGAAATCACAAGTTTGGCTAACAGCAGATGAAGCAAAAGATAAATCTTCAAAAATTGAAAATGATACTTTAAGGAAGCAAGTTATTAGAGTTCAATTAGATTTTTATCGTTATGTAATGGGGGCAAAATGTTTGTTAAAGCTGTTTTATAAAACTAAAGTTTCTGGAAATAAACGTATTGATTTAAGTTCAGGTGAGTTAATGGAGAACCTGTTGACTGTCATTGGTAACTGCAATTTGCCTCCACCAGAAAAAACAACCAATACATTAAAAGTAAAAAACCAACGCAATGACTTGATTAAGAAACAAAAAGAAAAGTTGTTTACAACGTTAAAAGATTCTAGAATGTCACATCTTGCAAAACAAAAAAAAGTCCTGTTTCTGCCGGCATTATTAGATGATCCATTTTGTTTAGTTGGGCGAGTTATTCTTCATAAAATAAAAGAAGTTGATGAAGAAGAGTATTTTTGGTGCAAAGCAGATGTTCTTAAAATAGGTATAGTTGGAAAAAAAATCAAGCAAACATTATATGATGTTATTTACGAATCAGAACCTGGAAGCATTTATACATTTATAAGTTTCTATAGTATTATTAGTTGATGAACCTATCATTGTTACTATTTAAATGTAAACAAAGATTTTGTTATTTTTTTGCATGATCATCAAATTTTTTGTTCATTTTTCTTACAGAAACATCTAAACACGATAAAATGCTTGTAAGATTGTGGTGCAATGCAAACAAGAAGAAATGGTGGATGATGATTTTAAATACATTTTTGTATTTTTCTGAATTTTGATTTGTGTATTTTTTGATTATTGTGTTTTTTCCAGCAGTGATTATCCTTTAAGTAAAGATTTTATTGCCTTTGACCCAATTGCCCCAAATGGGGCAAACTAGCATTGGGATTACATATTTGTTGGGTTTTTATAAATGTATATGAATTTGTTTACTCTTACAATATAAAAAAGCTCTCATTCTTTAACTAAAGTTTTTTTTTTTGGTTTTTACAGAAATCATTGCCTTTGACCCAATTGTCCCAAATGGTGCAAACGAGCAGTGGGGTTCTTACATATATTTTGGGTTTTTATAAATGTGTATGAACTTGTTTACTCTGACAATATGAAAAAACACTTTTTCTTTAACTAAAATTAATTTTTATTGTCTTTACAGAGCTTTAATTGTTCCCGGCCCAGTCGCCTCGATTCGGGGAAAAAAGACCTGAAATTTTTGATATATTTATTGATATTTATAAATATAAATGAATTCGTTCACTCTGAAAATTAAAAAAAACAACTCTTTTTCTTTTAGTAAAGTTCATTTTTAACGGTTTTAACAGAGCTTTTTGTACTGTTGTCCCAATTTGCCCCATAATGGGAAAACAGACTCAGTGTATTTTTACAAATTTTCCTAATATTTATAAATAAAAATTTGTTCATTCTGACAGTTTGAAAAAAAAACTAAAATTATTTTTTTTTGTTTCTACAGAGCTTTGATTGTTCTTGGCCCAATTGCCCTGAATGGGGGAAACAAACCCTAAGATTTTTACGCATTTTCTTGATATTTATAAATATAAATGAATTTGTTCACTCTGACAGTTTGAAAAAGCTCTTTTTCTTGAACTAAAGTTAATTTTTACGGTTTTATCAAAGCTTTTATAGCTTTTGGCCCAATTGCCCCAAATGGGGCAAACGAGCAATGGAATCCTTACCTAGGGGCCCCTAATCTGAGAAAAATGATTTGTAGAATTGAACGCTTTGATTCTTTATTAGAAAAGAAAACAATAAAGATAATTTAGCATAAGTACTTCAATGAAACTCTTTCTCATTGATGGCATTTTAAAAATAAATTTATTATCAAAATTTGGTGCCATAAATCCTTAAGGAAAACTCAGCAAATCTGGACGCAAAATAAGCGTTATTGAGCCCAACATAAATTGTCATAACTTGGGAACCAGTTATCCAAATTTAAAAAACGAACTCATTCTGAAAACGTCTTTATTATCCGCGTACTTTGGTATTAAATATAGCCAGAGATAATGATATAGTAAATTCGACCGAAGTGTCTAACTTATGTCAATATTTGCGCGCACTTATGCCAATTCGCACTTATGCCAGTTCGTACTTATGCCAATTCGCACTTAAGCAAAAGTTTGCAAATTCTTTTGGCGCACTTATGCCAGTTCGCACTTATGAAATTCGCGCGAATTTCATAAGTGCGAACTGGCATAAAGGCGATCGCCCTTATTCAAATTCCCGGGATTTCCCCCTCCTCTCACTACGCCTAATTTTTATTTTTGAAAAATCGGTGCTTGCTCATTTATGTTACAGAAGTTAATATAGCTAAGCGATATTAATTAACATGTAACATAAAACAATAAATTTTATTTTATTATGCAAACACTTTTTTTTTAGCGTATATCTTATTTAGTGCATAATTCAAATGCATTTTTATTTTTTCTCACTTTAGTTCATCAAGTAATAAGAACTTAAAAGATCATGTAATTTTGCTATTATAATATCATTACGTTTAAAGAGCATTAGTCGGGTTTAAATTTTTGAAAATCTTGATTGTATTTGTTAGATATTAGATACTTGATCGCCGCGAATGTTTTTTCTAAATTTTGTCCCCCTTTTAATTGGAGACCGCTTCGCGTGTTATTACACGCGAAGTTATTACACGCGTGTTATTACACGCGTGTTATTACACGCGTGTTATTACACGCGTGTTATTACACGCGAAGCGGTGTAATATAATATAACGTGGCAAATGAATTTGAACTATTTAGGAAAAAGTAAATTCCTTTCAAAAAGATCAAATTTTTTACTACGTTAAATTTAAATTTTACATATAAATTTTAATTGTTTATAACTTAAGTTTTAACTATTGAAATTTAAAATCAAGTTTTAACTTGGAAAATAAAAAAAAAAGCAATACAAATAAAAAAAAAAAAAAAAAAAAAAAAAAAGATTTCCCGCGAGCAAAAATGGAAATTTGAAGATTTAAATAAAAGTTTTGTCTAGACGGATCTGTAGCAATTATGTAATATGTATTGTATAACTTCACCACATAGTTCTTTTAATTTATTGAAGGAATGTTGAGATTTTATATTTATTAATCCTAAAGTGTTAGAATCAAGTGCAAACATGTCTTGTACTTAGATTAAGTTAAATACTAAATCACACTAATTTAGTGTGAGTTGGTATTTAACTTTATCTAAGAACAACTAAGTTGTTAACTTATTTTCTGGTAGGTTGTGCTAAAAAATATTCACTTTCAAAAGTAATATGGATCAAAATCTAACTTGCAAAGCAAACTTAAGCACTAAAGATAATGTTACTACATCCAGTTTTGTAGAGAGAAACAGTGTACCATCTGTTTTATGTGGAATAGGTGTTAACGAATTTGAAAAACCTGATTGCAATCATTCCTTTAGTTATCATAACAAATTAATAACGACATCTGAAAATAAAATGGTATGTTTAAAAAATTCTTAAATGGTATGTTTAAAAAATTCATGGTATGCTTAAAAAATTCTTTTTTATTAAGTATTTAATAAATTTCTATTAATAATAATAACAATAATAATAATAATATCAATAATAATAATAATAGCAATAATAATAATAGTAGTAATAATAATAATAATAATAATAATAATAATAATAATAATAATAATAATAATAATAATAATAATAATAATAATAATAATAATAATAATAATAATTATAATAATAATAGCAATAATAATAATAATAATTTTTTTTTTGCTAAGTGATTTTCTACTACTAATAATTGCTCTGTTCTTTTGGGAACATTGAGCACTCTATTTTGTAGAATACATTTTAAAGTTGTTTAAATATCTATCTATATATATATATATATATATATATATATATATATATATATATATATATATATATATATATATATATATATATATATATATATATATATATATATATATATATATATATATATATATATATATATATATATATATATATATATATATATATATATATATATATATATATATATATATATATATATATATATATATATATATATATATATATATATATATATATATATATATATATAAATTTAACAAGTTTCTATTATTAGTAATAATAGAAATTTGTTAATTTTTTTTTTTTTTTTGAATAAACTACCGTCAAATGGGGTAATATGGCCAGTTTAGCATTTTTGTCAATTTTTAACTAATAACCGCTAAACTTTTAAAGATGCAGTGACTAACTCTACATACTTTTTATAGCCCAATGTTATAGCCTGACATTTTAATGTCTGTTGCAAATAAAAGTACAAAACATTAGTACTTTTATTAATGAATGTTTTTCACATGTCATTTTTTCTGTTTTTTTTTTTCAGATTATAAAAATACCAGTAAATGGCAAACAAATATTTGTAGTGCAATTTGGCCAAAATTTTAACCAGATCTCTATTAGCTACTTACATAAGTGCATTTTATAGCTCAAAGGTATTTACAATAATTAAAATTAAAACAATATTAAAATAAGTGGGGTAAATAGGCCATTTTAAAAATATGGGTAATATGGCCACTTATTTATCTTGGTTATAAATGTGTAAAATTTTTTTCTTTATTTTAGGCAGCAATATGCCACGGACATACAAACCAAAAGAAGTTTACACATGTAGTAACTAGCCCATAGAGCAAGTGGGCAACGCTATGAAGGCCATGGCTGCAGGTATGCCCGTTAAAAGGGCCTCTGAAACCTACAATGTTTCCAGATTAACCCTTAGAAATTATAGATGTGGTAAGACCAAAAATATGTGAAAACTTGGTTGAATTGCAATTTCTGCTGATGAAGAGCTTGTCATTTTTCAAAATGTAGTTACATTTGCCGATTTTGGATTTGCTTGGGATCTGGCTGAGTTAAGACAATCAAAAGTGTCCTTGACAAACAAAATAGAGTTGTTCCAGCCTTCACCAATAACTTCCCTGGATAAGGTTGGGCTTACGAATTCTTAAAAAGGCACCACAACCTAATTACAAAGAGAATTGGTAAGAACATTGTAAGAAATCGTGCAGCTTTAAGTGAAGAGTAGCTTGTTTTTTTTTTTTACTAATCTCCACACCCTAATCAAGGACATTCTTTCTTCTAATGTAATGAATTAGGATGAAACTAATCTCAGTGATTACCTTGGCTCAAAGAAAATGATTTACAGAAAGGCATCCAGATAACATCATAAACACGACATACACTTCAATCTCAATAATGTTTGAAGGAAGTGCAAGTGAAGTGGTCTTACCCCCTTACAAAGTTTTTAAAGCAGAATACATGATAAGTACCTGGATTGAGAATGGACCACCCATTGCTCACTACAATATAACCAAATCTGGCTAGTTTGATAGGTTTTGCTTTAAACACTGGTTTTGAGAAGTGGTTCTACCTTGGTGTCACAATTTGCCCGTAGATCGATGGAAGGTGATTTAATTGAAGACAATTTAGCTGCTCATGCAAGTTCTTATATTCTTGCCAGACAGTTCTTATAACATGCCAGACAAAAAAAATCCACATGGTGTTTCTGCTTCCTAACTCAACCCACATATTGCAGCCATTAGATGTTACAGTGTATGGCCCCATGAAAAGGTATTGGGGTGCAATACTGACCAAATGGAAACTAAATGAGGGGAAATTTGTCAAGAGACTTCCTAATTGGGCTTTTCCCAAGTTGTTAACTTACGCACGCATTGGTTTCACAAACCAAAAAATGATATCTATGACACAGATGTCAACAACATTTGTTTGATCCTTCAAGTTTGCGATGTCAAGGCTGGGAGAATTTGCATAAAAGCAGACTTAAGTGCCTTTGCAATTCATTAAGAATTTTTTTATTTTATTGTATTTGTATTTTGAATATTATTTTTGCTAGTTTTGCAATTTGCGACTTCCTTTAATTTCATAAACATGTATTGCAATATTTTGTTGTTTAAAATAATTTTTTTTTTAATGGCCAAATTATAAAACTTGGGGATTTTTCAAAAATAATTTTTATTAATAAACTTTGGTTAAAGTTTTATAAGTTACATATCTGATTTTCTTATATAATGTGCATCTTGTGGAAAATAATTATAAATTATATGTATATATATATATATATATATATATATATATATATATATATATATATATATATATATATATATATATATATATATAAATTTTTTTTCAATTCAATTTTGATAATCCTGTTTTGCTATTTGCTACTTTGTTTTATTTCATGTACATGTATTGCAATGTTTTGTTGTCTAAATTAGTTTTTTTTGTTAAGTGGCCATATTACCTCGTTTTTGTATTTTTCAAAAATGATTTTCATTAATATATTGTGGCTAAAGTTTTAAAGTTAGATTGCTGATTTTCACATATAATGTGCATCTTGTATGAGTATTTGTTGAATAAAATCTATAAGTTATTAGCTCTTGTACTTAGCAAATTATTGAAAAAAAAAAACAGTCAAAAAATGGCCATATTACCTCATTTGTCGGTACTTAAAGTGACATTATTTATAAATCCAAAAAGTCATTACTTATGAATTCAATAATTTAAAGAAAATAAAAGAAATACGCCTAATTGTCTCAATTGTTTTGTATTTTAAAATTTTTTAAATAAATATTGCATTTTAAAAAATTATTTTTAAAAATTTTGATTTTGATAAAAAGTTTAAACAAAAACGCATTTAAAAAAATGAAATGATGAAACTTGTTCAAAACTCTTTACATTAGAATTTTTACCTCAAGCGTAAAAAAGTTGAGTTAGAAATTTATTATTTAAATATATTGGGTAAATATTAAATAAAATTATTTCAGATTGACTTAATTTGAAAATATTTTTTAGGGTACTCTTGATGGTTTGGTTTTTTCAAGTAATAATTTTTCAAATACATTAGTAATACCGAGTCCAATATTACCATCATCAAACAAAGGAAATTATTTCTGTGTTTCAACAGAAAAAGAAGTGGAAGACATAATTCGTATCCATACTCAAGACACATATTCACACTTTGTTGTTGCAAAGAAAACAAAGGCATATGGTTCTACTGGTAACTAGATTTTTTTGAAATAAAAAATATCTGCTAGTTAAAATTTCTTGTTTATGATCAAATTTTTTTTCTTAACTGTTGTAAACAAAAAAAATAATTTCTGATTAGTCTCTTCCATTGACATTACCTCAAAGTTTCGAATACATTGGCAGTCTCGTGATCTAACTAGTACAGAAGAATGTGCTGTGCAAATTCCATTCCAGGGTGTACCATTTATTTATATTGGTGAGAAAGCATATATGTGTCACTTAGGAAGAAGCAAAACAAGGTTAAAAGATGCTCCACATATTAATGAGGTTACTAATATATTTATTTGTGATAAATAAATTAATAAATAATTCGAAACTAAGACAATATTTAGTTGAAGGAAATTCATTTCAGTAACTTGAAATGTTTTAAAATTATTTAAATTTAGGTTTTTTCTGTAAAACTTTAAAATATTTCCAGAAATTTTTGTCACAAGTAAAAACAAGTAAAAAGTAAAGTTTTCATTTGTAAACCTGTTTCTGTTTTTTAAGTTAAAAAACTGGTTTGAAAGATGCACAGAATATGTGCTGCTGTTATAAAAACAAGCAATGGTTATTTAAAAAAAAAATCAAAAAAAAAAAAAAAAAATGCTTTTAAATATTTTTTCTTTTAAAAATTTTTTTTTTTTTTTGTAAATATCAACCTATTTTGTTAGAATGTAAATATTAACCTATTTTGTTAGATCATTTCATTGTAAAAATTACAAATAAATAACAATAGTTATAAAATTTCTAACTTAAGTTACATATGGACTTGATTAGAAAACATTAAAAACACCTGGCAGAGAACATTAATTTTATTCTTTAATTTCATTTGTTTTTTCAAATATAGATTGGCCTGAATATTAATCACAGAAAAGGAACATGTCGTAAAAATTCTGAAAATTATGACTATGAGATCTTCAGAAATTAGTGAAAAAATGTATGTTTTTCCTTAAAAAAAAGGTTACTCAACAGTTATTTGTGAAAAACTTTTTGAAAGTCATAATAAATTTTCTCCAGACAAGGAATTGCAAATTCCTGGACTTTTTGCTATCCCAGGATAGCGGGAATTATTTATAACATTCCCAGGATCCTAGGAATGAACATTAAAATAAAAAAAACAAATAATTTTTTTTTTCACTTTATTTTTTTAAAACTATTTTTGTGAATTAAAGTGACCTTTTAGAAAAACCTGTGCATCCAAATGACTGTCTGATAATCCAGTTCTGAACTTTATAAAAAAAAAACCTGTTGAATGAAACACTCTTTCAGCTTCAACACTGGATGGTTAAATAGTTAAAAGTGCATTATAAAGCATATATAAATTATGTGATCTTTTGTTAGTTGCTTCAAACAAATTAAATTCCTGACACATAGTTGACTTATCGCAATTGACTTCAAAGTTGTCTTTTTTTTCAAAAACCTTTTTAACCTTTCAGTCATTTTCATTTTGATGAGTTTTCTAAACTGACATTACAATTGTTAAGTTTATCATTAATCATAATATTGTTAAGGTTATATATTATTATTATTATTATTATTATTAAGGTTATTAAGTCCCAATCTCCTTGACACAAGATATAAAATCTATTAATAATTGTAAAATTAAAACTTATTAAAAAAAAAATCATCAAATTTGCTATTCAACAATTTAAAGACTCACTGTCGGCAGAAGAGTGGGATAAGGTGAATCATGAATGCAATCTTGTACACACTAAGTCTGCTTTAATAACTTTGAAAAAAATTTTCCAAAAAAAATATAATGTGTACTTCCCAATTAATGTAAAATTAATAAAATATTTAAAATGTCCCTGGATCACCAAAGGTATTAAAAAATTCTCAAAAAAACAAACAAAAACTTTATATTAAATACTTAAAAAAGAGAGATGAAGCAAACCTAAATGTTTACAAACAGTATAAAAACTTGTTTAAAATAATCAAAATAAAATGCAAAGAAAAACTATTAATCAAATAAAATAAAAAACACAAATAGTGATATTAAAAAAACTTGGGATATCATGAAAGAAATAATTGGGATAAAAACCTGCAAATTGTAATAGATAATAAAGAGTATGACAATAATAATGCAATTTCAGAAAAATTTAATAGTTTTTTTGTCAACATAGGCCCAAATCTAGCTTTAAAAGTCTTATTGTCCAAATAACACATTTGAAACTTATTTGAAACTTAACTGGTGTCAACAACAAATTAATATTTAAAGAACTAAAAATTGATGAACTCAAAAATGCAATAAACTCTCTTAAAATAAATAAGTCTCCAGGTATAGATGACATTTGCAGTAATATTGTTGTTAATGTCTTTTCGGAGGTACGCACACCTATTTTCAAAATATTTAAATCATCAATTAAAACTGGAACTGTACCAGATAAATTAAAAGTAGCAAAAATTGTACCTTTTTTTAAAACCAGTGAAGCATTTCTTATAAACAATTACAGACCAATCTCAATACTTCCAACCTTTTCTAAAATACTTGAACGAATAATCTGCAATAGATTATAAGAATACCTAATTCAAAACAAATTCTTAAATAAAAAGCAATTCAGTTTCCAATCACAACATTCAACCGAACATTAGATTTTTAGATTTACTTTAGATTTAGTTAACGGCAACTTTAGATTTAGTTAACGGCATAAGTGATTCTTTTAATAAAAAGCAATTTGTATCAGGAACTTTTATAGACCTATCCAAAGCGTTTGACACAATAAATCATAAATCTTACTTAAAAAAATGAAAAAATACAGAATAAAAAATACTAGCCTAGATTGGTTTAAAAATTATTTGTGCAACAGACAACATTATGTTTCATTCCAACCAGCAAAAAAACAAAATATCATGCATGTTACCATGAATAAAAATTGATAACCTAAAAATCGAGAGAACTGAAACTATTAAATTTCTTGGGATAATTATTGACAAAATGATTTTTTTGATAGCCCATATAAAAACATTAAATACAAAAATATCCAAAAGTATCGCCATACTTTACAAAGTCAAACCTATACTTTCCCAGGAGAATCTAAAATTTCTCTACTTTTCTTTTATAAAAAGTTATCTAACATGTGCTAACATTGCCTGGAGAAGTACAAATAAATCTAAACTAAATTCTCTATATACACTAGAAACATGCATCAAGATTGTTTTATAATAAAAATAAATTCACTCATGCTGATCCTTTACTTAAAAACTTGAATGCTTTAAATATCTATCAAATTAACATCGACCAAAATAATTTTTTATGCTCAAATATAAGCTTGGGCTTGCCCCAACTCATTTTACTAATAATTTTTTTCAAACCAACGCCAACAGATATATCACATAAGGAACAGGAAACTTTACATCGCCCATACAAAAAAATAAAATTTTTAAATAAAAAACAAAAATAAACGAAGAGATTTTAATTGTATACCGTGGCCCTTATTTATACAATAAAATAATGAATGAAAAATGAACAATAAAAAAAAAAAATGAAATAAAAATATTAAAAAATAAATAAATAAATATAGTTAGCAACTATACATAGTAAAATATTACTGAACAGTAGACCTCAAAAAGTTAAAGTGTGTTTCATAAATATACTTTTTAAATTTTTGGTTTAATTTATATTTTAAAGGGTCTCGATGAAAACTTCTCTTGGTCTTCTGGGAGTTTCCTTACAACTACATAGTATTATTATAATATAATAATACATATTTTCAATGACAACCACAAGCAATACTCTAGTAGCCATGTAGTGTGACTGACTTGTATATATTTTTTAAATGCATGGGTTAATAGCCACCACCTTATATTATAAACCAAGAATTTTTAAATTTATTATTTTAACTCAAATTTAATGTCAAACGGGCATGCGTAAAATAGTATTGTTAACACTCTTTAGATTTTGTAAATATGTGTGGTAGACATTTATATAAACGGGGGATATGTAAATATATATTTTTTTGAAATAATGATTATTGTAATAATGGTTGTGGTGAATTAAAAAAAAAAATGTTATCATTATCGATAATTTTATCTCCTACTTTTGGTATATTTTCAAATAGCTATATTTATCATCTCTGTTTTAGATGGTATGCAAAATAAGTTATTATGCATATCACTTTTTAAAAACTGTAGATTATCTAAAAACTTTAATAAACCAACAAGACCACATTTCCTTCTTTGACATATCCTTTCAACAAGAGCATTCTTGAGAGTATATGATAATTAGCAATCTTGAGCATCAGGTTCTTTAATAATAAATTTTAATGTGTCATCAGCTGTTAATAATGTTGCTTCCCTTCTACAAATCATTCCAGAACCTTAAGCAATTGACTTTTTACTAAACTTTTAACTACTTCCAGCTCATCATTGGACAACATTTTTTTCTAAACTGAAATCAACCAGAGATTTACCAACTGCTTTTTTAACTTTAATAAATCTTTGAATCATGGCTGGCGTTGCATTCCAACTTGTTTTTGAATCTAAAATGAGTCCTAGCTCTTTTCCAAATTCACTTTTAGAATAACATTTCAAAGTATCCATTTTTAAGGGAGATCTTTTAAAAGTTACAACAATTTTACGAACTTTTAGCAGAATGTTATGAAGCTCAAGAACAAGATCCGGAGCTGGGTAACTAATTTAATTTTCATCCTCATTATTATTTTCATCATCAAAAGAATCAAAATCATTTTTAATACCTTCTTCATTAGAAATCTGATTATTTTTAATTTTCTTTTTACAAATAACATCAACTACTGCTAAATGTATTGCATGGGCAAAACAAAGTTGATATTCAGCAGGAGAAATATTTCCTTATTTTTCCATAATGGAAGCACCATTTGTTTTTATGCAAAATTCATCACTGGAAAGACATGCCATGGGCGCAAAAAAAAAAAAAAAAAGAGAAATTAATAATAATTTCTCATTTATTTTTGCTCATTCTAAGATAAAAATAGTTTCAGTAAACCTCTAGCAATGCGAAGGGAGTTTTGTGGTAATTAGTATGATTGCCTCAAGATCAGCAAACATCAATTGGTTTTAAAAAAATTTTCTGACCACAAATACATAAGAGTCAGTTTCAATAGTTCTCTGTAATCTCCAATGATAAAAAAAATTTTGGTTAATTTTAATTATTTGGACAATTTTACAATTTCAATGATCTAGATTTCTAAGAAAATGTTAATATTAGATTGGGTATCATATGTTACAAACTTTAAAGAGTCAAAGTATCATTTTAGTTGATTTGGAATTGTTTAAAACATTTAGAGACTTGGAGAGTTTTTCCACTG